TCCTGAGGCAGTTCCACGCCCTCCGCCTTATGGCTTGTGCCCTGACTACCATTTTTGCCCACCAAGGCGGCCAGCCCTCTCTTCTGACCCTTCCTAGGAGAGCGAAAACGTCCATGAACCGTATGATGCTGTCTTTGAATAACTGCCACTCCGGGGGAGGGTTTCCCTTGATGTGGAACTTAAGTACTCCACGGTCACTTCGCCCTAGGGGTGCAGAAACTCCGAGCTGTTCCACATTCTACGGCATCTTGGTCAGAACTAGGTTGAACATGCTAGGCTTTTGCCCCTCCCGCCATCTAGTGGGTTGGTTGACGTGCTGCACCAGGAGTAGCACTGTCATCAAGTCCACCAGTTTTCTGCCAAAACCAGAGTGAGGGGCCCACAGGCTTTACCAGTCTACCTCCGGAGAGTTAAAGTTTCCCATGATAACTATCCGCTCCGCATGGTTGCTTACCCTGGTCAGATAGTCGCACAGCTGGCCATCCTCCTCCTCATCTGAGATTGGTGCCCTGTAGACACCTACTACCGTCACTATACAGTTGGGGGATTGTTTGTTGCACGAGCCCTCCTGGATATTCGGCGTGGACATGTGATCGCCCACTGCCTGATCTAGGGTGTCCAAGACAAGGAGCAATATACCACCTTCACCCCTACCATCTTCCCTGTTAGACCTGTGCGCTCAGTACCCGGTGAGTTGCAGGCTCTCCGTTGTAATGGCCACGTGTAACCATGTCTCGGTCATCACAATACAGTCTGACCCTACAGGCCTTATGGCCCTTAGTTTTCTCCACTTGTTGCCTAGGCTGCAGGCGTTCGTGTAGAATTCCGATAACCCCCCAGCCCGGGCCCTCTCCCAGCCTTGATGTCACTGGAATCTAGTGCGCACTCAGGCAAACTGCCCGAGTGCCCTCTTCGGTTTTTGTCGCTGGCATACTCTTGGCCCTCAGTCGCTATGGCACCGCAGAGGGAATGATGACAACACTAGCCCTTCGAGCCACCGAAGCCCACAATTCCTTACCAGTCTCCAACTGAGTAGGCACAACATCGTCCGGCCTGTCCTTACGATTAACTGTGAGCATTATCATCCGTCCTACTGGCGTGGGCTCTGTGTCTGTGTCCCGTAAGTGATATTGTTGATGTAGCTGAGCCGGACCTGGGAGTAGATGGGATACGTTAGGCAGCGATTTCCGGTGACTGATGCTGCAATCTACTGAGCTCTTTCCGGGGTGAGTTACCCCGGGAATCGCAGTATGTCTTGTTAGTTGGTGATGTCTGTCGGCGAAAGCCTGCATACTTAGATGCGTTATCTGGTTCGACGCCTACCTTCCCATTCTTCAGACTCTTTATTCTACCCGCCGCCACCAGGAATGCATCCTGGAAAATCTGGTTGCGAAATTCTACGAGAACTGGCTGTGGGAAATGCGCTATGCTTACCTGTGCGTTAGACCGTTTCCCAAGCTTGAAAATTCTTTTGATTAGTGCGTGGTCCGGGATTACCACCTGTCTAAGTAGGGTGGAGACACGGTGTCTCAGATCTCTTTCTCTCAGTCTGGCACTGCTGCAGAGCGGCTGTTCCATTTCTTTAATGACAACATTTCGCTGCCTGCCTATTGCGATGCCCATTTCGCGGTCCAGATTTTTTTATCTGGAAAGCCAAGCTGGTCACCTCCTTGCTGATCTCAGACAAACTGGCTGTCCTAGCATTAATGTCTGATTGGAGTCGCCGGAGTTGCGACCTCATGTTTGGCTTAAGCGCTTCCAGACTTGCCCTAACTGCCTCCAATTTGAGGATTTTTGTCGGTTGTCATTTCCTTAGCTCTATGACTGTCTTCTCATCAGTTATGTTGTCGTCATCGGTTTGCTGTTGCGCTGAAGTACGGCTATGTATAATTAGTTTTGAACAGTCTTAACAAACCCATTTAGGCGCCGCGTTATCTAGGTACAGTAGCAAAGCATGGGGAGTAAACTTTACTGCAAGCACAATGAGACCACCGGTCGCAGGTTGTACAGATCAATTGGTGAAAATCCTTCCTATAAAGCCCAGTCAATCTATCTCGGTTCCACATTTCGTGAATTTCACGTTCCATTCACCTAACACCATCCGCCTCACATATACATAAACATTTAACATTCCACTCCCTTTGTACATTTACACATCGATCCTACCATTTTACTTTGTTTGTTTATCTGCTTCATTCGTACCCTACTTGTTTTAATCGCGACCTGACCGCTCACATTTGGTCCGTTCGTGTGCAGCGTGACGGTGAGCGTGCTGTTCTTATCCAGGCTTATTTTCTTCCGTTCAGATTTGTTGAATTACGCTCACGGTAACACTTGACTCTTGTTTTCAAATTGTCTCAAGATCACTTTGAGGTTTGTATAGTTTTTATTTAATCATTTAGTAATGCAGTACCGTAGAAACTTGCTGGATCATTAATTTTGTTGACGTTTTGGGATCCGATTTCGGCTGCGCGTTGCTCGTCGAGCTATTCGGGAGAAGCAGTGCTCATATTCGCACAATCTGGAACAACAGAATGTCGTTCGAACAAGGAAGGATCGAGAAGGAAGGACGGTAATTAAACCGGTAAGTCACTGGGGAATTTGGGGAGTTTCTAATTTTCACATTTTTAATTCAATCAATTCTGTTAGTGCTAGGAGTTTATGTGCCCTAGATTGTGATGCTGATTTTAAGATGTCTGATATATATCTCCGTAAGCTTGTAGAGTTGGAGCAGGAGATTAGATAGATGAAGCTCAGGGAATCAGAAGCTCGGCAACCCTGCTCTACTAAGCACATCACGGAGGAAAAGCAAACTCTGCTCATTAGACTGACGCAGGAAGTAGCTCAACCAACGACTGAAGTAATGTACCGCCACAGGTCAATAGACCTGCCCAAGTTCGAGCTAACTCCATTCGACGGGAACCCCAGCAACTATTGGAAATTTATTAGAGAATTTGATAATTTCGTCGAGTGTCGGGTTGCCGTTCCAGGGCAGAAACTCCTGTATCCAAAGCATTAATGCCACGGAAAGGCCAGGGACGCTATCGAAGAGTGTGTAATGCTGCCAAACGAAACTGAGTATAAACGAGCAAGGGACATTCTGAAGGAACAGCTTGGTCAACCGCTTCACGAGGCACGGACACTCATATACGGGGTGCTAGCCGAGGCCCGTAAAGCGAGAAACGCGCCCGATTCGTTGGTGGGACTGGTAATGAAGATGCAAAAGTGTTGCACTGCCCTGACTCAAATGAGTCACGGAGCTGATTTGAACGCACTACACACCCTAGAGGCAATAGTACGATGCCTGCCGGCTGACATACAGCATCGCTGGGCGGAGAAGACGGTGATTATTAGTCGTTTATGAAGGGAACCGAACTTCAACGAGCTAACGGAATTCATCCGAAACCGTGCCAAGGTCGAGAGCAGTCACTTCGGACAACTCGTCAGCATGAGTAGGCGGAAAGAGAGACATCACACCAAAGAACGAACCTATGAGATTCCAAGGGGTTCTAGGAACAAGAACAACTATGCGACAGTAAAGGAACGTGGCACAGCCAGATGTCCCATGTGTCGTTTGAATTACGAGTTATCCGCGTGCGAGAAATTTGCAAAACTAGAAGTTCTGGACCGTTGGGAAGCAGCCAAGAGGCAAGGAACACGTTTTATCTGTTTGAACGGCTCACATTGTGAGGCCGCTTGTAGGAACCGTAGCAGATGCAGGGAAATGGGGTGTCAAGGAAGCCACCATACTCTTTTGCATTCTGTAAGATAAATCCAGTTTTCTGCACCCAAAACCCCAGTGTGTGTCTATTATTTCAATCGATGAACAAGCAGGTATGCCTCGGGGTAACACCAGTGGGTATATCAACACCCAGCGGTGTGGTGAAGGCGATGATGTTCACTGACAACGGATCCGATACCACGTTAATCACCAAACGCTTCACCGTAAACCACAACATCAAAACCCGACTATCTTCCCTGACGATCAGCACGGTGAACGAAACCAAGGCGACGTCCTCCGATCAAGCAAACGTGACGTTGGTTTTGCTAGATAATGGTGAACGAGTAGAGGTGATGGAAGCTTTCGAAATCGCCGACTTGCCGATGCGAGCAGTGGAATCGATCGGGGGAATTAGCAACGCGCTGGCCACACCTGCGAGACTTGTGTTTCGAAGAAGCCGACTCTCCCGAAGTCAATTTACTAATAGGGTGTGACGTGCCCAGTGCGCACTGGGTCCTGGGCCAGAGACTGAGCGACAGGAAAGAACTATGTACTGCTCGCACCATGTTCGGGTTGACGTTGTTTGGACCGCCTCATGCGACCAATCGTAAACCGTTATCAGTTAACTTCACCACCACGACCGCTAGTAACGATACGATCGAACAAGCTCTCCAAAGGATGTATGATAATGAGTTCGGACGACCAGAAAGGGGGCCCCTCCGTAGAAGACAACCAGGCATTAGCAATAGTCGAAAAAGGGACACGGTGCCAGCCCGACCGGTTCGAGGTGCCATTGCCATGGAGGACAGGATACGACCGATTGCCGAAAAATCACGGGATAGCCCTTTAAAGGTTAGAGTACCTTAAAAGGTGACTGATCCGCGACACAGAGGTCTATCGAAAATAAACCGCGGAAATGCAACGGAACGTTCAACTGGGATAAATAGAACGGCTGGATGTCTTACAACCACGCGGGCAAAGACTGTGGTACTTGCCACACCCCTCGGTAACAAATCCCAGAAATCCAGGGAAGATACACGTGGTATTCGACTGTGCGGCGCGGTACGGCAGTCTCTTCCTTAAAGATTGTCTGTTGCAGGGACCGGACTGGACTACTTCATTAATTGACGTGCTCAACCGATTCCGGCTAGGAATAGTTGCAGTGGCAGCCGACATACAAGAGACGTTCTTCCAAATGCCAGAGGATCAGCGCGACGCCCTGCGATTGCTATGGTGACCCAATGGTGACTTACAGAACCCCGCGGTAGACTATAAACTGACCGTTCATCCATTGGGAGCGGTTTCTTCGCCCTTCTGCGCAAACTTCGTACCTCGGCGGACAGCTTCGCAAAACGGAAACAACTTCCCGGCTTCGGTGTCAACTAGCGTTGTGAATAATGTCTACGTCGACGACTTCCTGGGCGCCTTTGACGACGCAAGAGAAGCCTCGCAACACGTAGTGCAGCTAAGGTATCTACTAGAGAAAGAGGGATTGCGTTTAACCAAATGGTTTTCCAACTCACGTTTTGTTTTAGA